TTTCCTGATTTGCGTTTAAAGTTAATCCTGACAGTCTCGACAAAGAAATCCAGGGCCCCTTTCCACAAAGAGATCGTAGCGCTAAGGCGATCGTAACTCCGATACTTTAGCATAGACTTAAGGCAGTCGTAGAGCTACGATCCGGGCCGAGAACCTTAAACCTACCTTTATCGACCTCGAGGGATATCCCAAACATCTCGTAGAGAAAAGCATTCGTAGAACCAGGACATCAAACATAAAGATCCCATTCCAGGTCCAAACCACCCCCCATCACCCATCCTCTTTAGCATCGTATACCGAGGCCCCATCAGTCAATAGATCAGCAGACTTCTCACAACGGCCATCATGGATACCACGTTCAACTCCGACTAGAAAATTTGAAACATCTTCACGCCAACAGTAAAGGTCCCACCCAGTCTAACCTTAAACCATGGCGATCTGTGTACGAGGTCTCACGCAACTGCGGAGATAAATAATTATGTTGGAGAGACTTCATATCACATCGCCACCAGAACATAACTACTCAAGACCTTGTGGACAAATCTGACATGAAATCTGTCCTTTCGGAAAATCTCATCAAAACTCCCGACCACCAGATTTCCTGGCAACAAATCGAGATTCTCTACACCAAATCAGTCACTTGAAAAAGGGAAAGTTCAAGAAACTGTGGAAACCCAAAGAAAGAAGCCAGCCTTTAACAGATACCAAGGCATCTACCTCCCCAGCGTGTACTCCGCGGTGCTTTAATGTTTTCATCAACCACAATGGACATCTTGGTGCCTTATTGTCAGTGTTACCATAGAAAGAAGCCAGCCTTTAACAGATACCAAGGCATCTACCTCCCCAGCGTGTACTCCGCGGTGCTTTAATGTTTTCATCAACCACAATGAACATCTTGGTGCCTTATTGTCAGTGTTACCATAGAAAGAAGCCAGCCTTTAACAGATACCAAGGCATCTACCTCTTCAGCGTGTACTCCATGGGGCTTTAATGTTTTCATCAACCACAATGAACATCTTGGTGCCTTATTGTCCGTGTTACCATAGAAAGAAGCCAGCCTTTAACAGATACCAAGGCATCTACCTCCCCAGCGTGTACTCCACGGGGCTTTAATGTTTTCATCAACCACAATGGACATCTTGGTGCCTTATTGTCAGTGTTACCAAAGAAAGAAGCCAGCCTTTAACAGATACCAAGGCATCTACCTCCCCAGCGTGTACTCCGCGGTGTTTAATGTTTTCATCAACCACAATGGACATCTTGGTGCCTTATTGTCAGTGTTACCATAGAAAGAAGCCAGCCTTTAACAGATACCAAGGCATCTACCTCTTCAGCGTGTACTCCGCGGTGCTTTAATGTTTTCATAAACCACAATGGACATCTTGGTGCCTTATTGTCCGTGTTACCATAGAAAGAAGCCAGCCTTTAACAGATACCAAGGCATCTACCTCTTCAGCGTGTACTCCACGGGGCTTTAATGTTTTCATCAACCACAATGAACATCTTGGTGCCATATTGTCCGTGTTACCATAGAAAGAAGCCAGCCTTTAACAGATACCAAGGCATCTACCTCCCCAGCGTGTACTCCACGGGGCTTTAATGTTTTCATCAACCACAATGGACATCTTGGTGCCTTATTGTTCGTGTTACCAAAGAAAGAAGCCAGCCTTTAACAGATACCAAGGCATCTACCTCCCCAGCGTGTACTCCGCGGTGTTTAATGTTTTCATCAACCACAATGGACATCTTGGTGCCTTATTGTCCGTGTTACCATAGAAAGAAGCCAGCCTTTAACAGATACCAAGGCATCTACCTCTTCAGCGTGTACTCCATGGGGCTTTAATGTTTTCATCAACCACAATGAACATCTTGGTGCCTTATTGTCCGTGTTACCATAGAAAGAAGCCAGCCTTTAACAGATACCAAGGCATCTACCTCCCCAGCGTGTACTCCACGGGGCTTTAATGTTTTCATCAACCACAATGGACATCTTGGTGCCTTATTGTCAGTGTTACCAAAGAAAGAAGCCAGCCTTTAACAGATACCAAGGCATCTACCTCCCCAGCGTGTACTCCGCGGTGTTTAATGTTTTCATGAACCACAATGGACATCTTGGTGCCTTATTGTCAGTGTTACCATAGAAAGAAGCCAGCCTTTAACAGATACCAAGGCATCTACCTCTTCAGCGTGTACTCCGCGGTGCTTTAATGTTTTCATCAACCACAATGGACATCTTGGTGCCTTATTGTCCGTGTTACCATAGAAAGAAGCCAGCCTTTAACAGATACCAAGGCATCTACCTCTTCAGCGTGTACTCCACGGGGCTTTAATGTTTTCATCAACCACAATGAACATCTTGGTGCCATATTGTCCGTGTTACCATAGAAAGAAGCCAGCCTTTAACAGATACCAAGGCATCTACCTCCCCAGCGTGTACTCCACGGGGCTTTAATGTTTTCATCAACCACAATGGACATCTTGGTGCCTTATTGTTCGTGTTACCAAAGAAAGAAGCCAGCCTTTAACAGATACCAAGGCATCTACCTCCCCAGCGTGTACTCCGCGGTGTTTAATGTTTTCATCAACCACAATGGACATCTTGGTGCCTTATTGTCAGTGTTACCATAGAAAGAAGCCAGCCTTTAACAGATACCAAGGCATCTACCTCTTCAGCGTGTACTCCACGGGGCTTTAATGTTTTCATCAACCACAATGGACATCTTGGTGCCTTATTGTCCGTGTTAACATAGAAAGAAGCCAGCCTTTAACAGATACCAAGGCATCTACCTCCCCAGCGTGTACTCCGCGGTGTTTAATGTTTTCATCAACCACAATGGACATCTTGGTGCCTTATTGTCAGTGTTACCATAGAAAGAAGCCAGCCTTTAACAGATACCAAGGCATCTACCTCTTCAGCGTGTACTCCACGGGGCTTTGTTTTCATCAACCACAATGGACATCTTGGTGCCTTATTGTCCGTGTTACCATAGAAAGAAGCCAGCCTTTAACAGATACCAAGGCATCTACCTCCCCAGCGTGTACTCCACGGGGCTTTAATGTTTTCATCAACCACAATGGACATCTTGGTGCCTTATTGTCAGTGTAACCATAGAAAGAAGCCAGCCTTTAACAGATACCAAGGCATCTACCTCTTCAGCGTGTACTCCACGGGGCTTTAATGTTTTCATCAACCACAATGGACATCTTGGTGCCTTATTGTTCGTGTTACCAAAGAAAGAAGCCAGCTTTTAACAGATACCAAGGCATCTACCTCCCCAGCGTGTACTCCGCGGTGCTTTAATGTTTTCATCAACCACAATGGACATCTTGGTGCCTTATTGTCCGTGTTACCATAGAAAGAAGCCAGCCTTTAACAGATACCAAGGCATCTACCTCCCCAGCGTGTACTCCGCGGTGCTTTATTGTTATCATCAACCACAATGGACATCTTGGTGCCTTATTGTCCGTGTTACCAAAGAAAGAAGCCAGCCTTTAACAGATACCAAGGCATGCCTTATTGTCAGTGTTACCAAAGAAAGAAGCCAGCCTTTAACAGATACCAGGGCATCTACCTCCCCAGCGTGTACTCCGCGGTGCTTTAATGTTTTTATCAACCACAATGGACATCTTGGTGCCTTATTGTCCGTGTTACCAAAGAAAGAAGCCAGCCTTTAACAGATACCAAGGCATGCCTTATTGTCAGTGTTACCATAGAAAGAAGCCAGCCTTTAACAGATACCAAGGCATCTACCTCCCCTGCGTGTACTCCACGGGGCTTTAATGTCATCAATCACAATGGACATCTTGGTGCCTTATTGTCAGTGTTACCATAGAAAGAAGCCAGCCTTTAACAGATACCAAGGCATCTACCTGCCCAGCGTGTACTCCACGGGGCTTTAATGTTTTCATCAACCACAATAAACATCTTGGTGCCTTATTGTCAGTGTTACCATAGAAAGAAGCCAGCCTTTAACAGATACCAAGGCATCTACCTGCCCAGCGTGTACTCCACGGGGCTTTAATGTTATCATCAATCTCAATGGACATCTTGGTGCCTTATTGTCAGTGTTACCATAGAAAGAAGCCAGCCTTTAACAGATACCAAGGCATCTACCTGCCCAGCGTGTACTCCACGGGGCTTTAATGTTATCATCAATCTCAATGGACATCTTGGTGCCTTATTGTCAGTGTTACCATAGAAAGAAGCCAGCCTTTAACAGATACCAAGGCATCTACCTCCCCAGCGTGTACTCCACGGGGCTTTAATGTCATCAATCTCAATGGACATCTTGGTGCCTTATTGTCAGTGTTACCATAGCTCCTTGTTATTACACGAGCCAGTCACTACACCTTCAATGTGCTTAATTGACTTCTTCATTATAGTCTTCTCTTTGTACAGTAGTCCTACCTTGTTTAATTGTTTGTTTGTTGTTTAACGACGCACTCAGCAATATTCCAGGTGTATGGTGGCGGTCTGTAAATAATAGAGTCTGGACCAGACAATCCAGTGATTGACATCATGAACATCGATCCACGCAATTGGGATACGATGACATGCATCAACCCAGTCAGCGAGTCTGACCACCCGATCCCGTTAGACGTCTTTTACGGCAAGCATGGGTTGCTGAAGACCTGTTCCTCCCCTGATCTGCACGGGTACTACATTGTTTGAACATACCATTAAGATGCTAATGTATATGTATAATTCTGTACACTAACTCAGTATTCACATCATGATGAAGAGGCAAGAAGAAGCTGTGAAACGTCAAAAAGATAAAAAGAAGTTGTTATCTTTATAAAGGCGTCATGTATTAAAGTTGTCCAGTTGGAAAATATATGTGTGAGGGCACGAACATGATTTCAACAAATTGAATACAAAATTTAATGTGTCTTTTTCAACTGTAGACAACTGTATGTCAAATATGGCTATTATTAAACTGGAAACGTTTAAAAGGACGATAAACCATAATAACGTCAGCATGTCAAAATGTTGTACTCACCACAGCACGTGCACATCAAGACTGATTCATACCACGTGACTTCCGGTTAATGTCATTGGTTGTTGCCTCTTACAGGTCTCCATCTGCAAGTAGTGAAAACACTGTTGCATCAAATCTGATAAGACGATACAGATACACATATATTCAAAGCTGTTGTGTTGGCAGTTCACAAACAAACGATACTCTACGAGATATGCTAAAGTCGTTTTTTTTTCTGGGTTTCCTGTACATAATTTGGTGACCGCGCAATTTAATCGCGCTAGAACCGCCTCCGCGGTCTTGTGGTAGAGCGTCCGCCCGGAGAGCGGAAGGTCCGGGGTTCGATCCCTGGCCGCGTCATACCAAAAGACGTTAAAAGATGGTACTTGTTGTTTCCCTGTTTGGCGCTCGGCATAAAGGGGCTTAAACAAGGACTGGTCGGCTCGGGGTCAGTATACTGTGTCTGTGTGGGGTATTCATGTTAAACTGCGGCATGGTATCTCAGTGGCCTAGCATTATAAATCGGCATCAGTCCGGACTAGTACAAGCAGCCACACACACACACACACACACACACACACACACACACACACACGTCGCTACATTAGTGCAATAATCTTGGACGCAACGTTAACCAATTTCACCTCACCTTAATCACGCATTATTGAAATGTTAAATTTGACTTTGTTAAATCTACAGGCAACCTATGGGCAACCTACGGGCAAGTTACGGGCAACCTACAGGCAACATCTTCATTCTACTATAACACAATTAAACGTGAATTATTTTGTCAACTGTTTGACAGGCATTACTTTGAAGTTGACGGATGACAAAGGGGACACAATTTGTGGATAACAGCCTCTCTATTTACTGTAAAGGCGACGTTTCGATATATCATGTGCATCTATACCGAAATGTCGTCATTACAGTAAATAAAGAAGTTGTTGTCCATAAATTGTGTCTCATTGTGACGGATGGTGTAGCACGTCATCATGATGACGTCACACAGCTCGTCATCATGGTGACGTCACATTGCTTATTGTGACGCATGGAGATAGCACGTGATCTTCAGTTGTACAAAAAACGATGAATTACACGCTCTCTGTTGCCGCTAAAACAATATTGGGGATAGTGTCATTTAGATACAGGTAAGTGTGAATAAAGCGACAAAACCCTTTCCATATCCAATAGAAATATCTGCATAAAGCAGAGTGGATTGTACAATTCCGACTATATCATGAGCATGTGTTTAGGATTCACAATCAAATAGAAATGAAACCAGGTGTTCGCGATCAAGGGAGCGTATCCTCCTCAACCGATGGCACTCGTCACAAACACATGCAAAGGCAAGTCAATCGATCACCTGAGAAAACACGGGAACGCATGGTACAAGTCAAAATAGGAATGTCTGCCATGGAACCTTTTGAAAGCATTACTGAGGCCTTGCATGTTGTAACCTTGATCAAACAACTTCTGAGAAAGAGTCGTATGACGCTCTTTGAAATCCTGGTAGAAAGAGCATGCTCGATTGTATCTCAAAAGTTGTGAAATGTAAACACCAAAGGATGGAACTGCTGTGTATAATGTATAGTTGCTGCCCTTATCGTGAGACGCTCAGCACATTTCCAGGTGCAATGGGTGTAAACATTATATCCGATAGAACTGACGGTCAGGCATGGGTGGATATCTGATAAATATCACCCGTTTAGTTAATGATTTGTGTGAGACAATACACTCGTAAGAAAAATCGTTTGTTCAGTAAACAGGTTTTTCGGTGAATTCCGCCTTGATATGCATCATCTGTTTATTAAATACGTTAGATCAATATCGCTTTGTCAGTGGTATAAATTATCTGTTATTATCTTGTTTAATCGTTGTGTCAGTCGATTGTCCATAGAGAACCATCCTACCTACTCTACTAACAGACAATAGCTCGAGATTAATCATTTACTTGAAGTGTAATTTTCTTTTCTCTCTTAATCAATGTTTGCATCTCATTGCTACTCATCCAAACATTCCATGTTTGTCTGTAAGACCTAATTGAGCTACAGGTCGAGTACTGCTTGTCCCAATCCGCTACTGGCTGATAACGTGGATAACGTGGGCTGGTACTCCGACCAGGGGTTGGTGTGATTGGACCAGATTCGAACTTCAGGCCTTCGTGCGTCTTTTCAGAATCTGCGCTGTCATGGATCTGTTATGTTAGCGACTGTCATCTGTTATGTTAGCGACTGTCGCCATACGTCTGTTATGTTAGCGACTGTCATCTGTTATGTTAGCGACTGTCGTCATACGTCTGTTATGTTAGCGACTGTCATCTGTTATGTTAGCGACTGTCGTCATACGTCTGTTATGTTAGCGACTGTCGTCATACGTCTGTTATGTTAGCGACTGTCATCTGTTATGTTAGCGACTGTCGCCATACGTCTGTTATGTTAGCGACTGTCATCTGTTATGTTAGCGACTGTCGTCATACGTCTGTTATGTTAGCGACTGTCATCTGTTATGTTAGCGACTGTCGTCATACGTCTGTTATGTTAGCGACTGTCATCTGTTATGTTAGCGACTGTCGTCATACATCTGTTATGTTAGCGACTGTCATCTGTTATGTTAGCGACTGTCGTCATACATCTGTTATGTTAGCGACTGTCGTCATACATCTGTTATGTTAGCGACTGTCGTCATACGTCTGTTATGTTAGCGACTGTCGTCATACATCTGTTATGTTAGCAACTGTCATCTGTTATGTTAGCGACTGTCGTCATAAAACTGTTATGTTAGCGACTGTCGTCATACATGTTATGTTAGCGACTGTTCTACGTCTGTTATGTTCGCGACTGTCATACAACTCTTATGTTAGCGACTGTCGTCAAACATGTTATGGTAGCGACTGTCTTTTTCTTGTCAACAAAATGTGTGTACTGGAGGTCGGAAAAACGATATTTAGGTTGCAGTTGGGATGGGATCTTGTGATTGGTTTGGAAGTTAGGGGGAGCTTTGGTGATGCGACGAAGGGACTAGACTCTTCAACACCCACGACTCTGACGTTTGAAGGTGAGAAGGGGAATTAAATGGAGGGTATGAATTATATTTGCTCAAGTGGACATTAACAGGATTAGCAGATTCCGCTTGTTCACAAATAGATTTTCCCATGACCTGGCGTGTCTGTGGCGTCCCTTGGGGTCGACTTATTGTGTGAAGCGAGACCTCATTGGCAGTCGATTCAATTACAGTCAGGCCAATATACAGACTGGGCTAAGCACATCACGGGACGGGGAGCGGGGAGCGGAGAGCGAGGAGCAGGGAAGGGGAGAAGAGGCACACCACGCAGCAGGACAACCAACTTAGTGTCACACTAAGGGACAGGACAGACGCAATGAGAGTCACAATGAGATATTTAATGAAGGTAACGTTGAGAGTGACAATGATAGACACACTGCTAATCACGGAGAGAGTCATAGTAACAGACACAAGAGGAGACAGGAGAGAAACAGTGAGAGCCACAATGGTAGTCACAAATGAGAGACGCAATGAGAAACAAAATAAGGGACGCAATGATCCATAGACACATTGAGAGACACGATAAGAGACACAATGATCTACAGCCAAAACGATAAACGCGATGACCCACAGGCACAATAAGAGACACAATGAGAGTCACAATGAGAGACGCAGTGAGAGACAAAATAAGACAAGTACTGATCCATAGACATATTGAGAGACACGACAGGAGACACGATAACAGACAAAATTATAGACACAATGAGAGTCACAATGAGAGATACAATGAGAGACAGAATGAGAGACACAACGAGAGATACAATGATAATCACAATGAGAGACAGAATCAGTCACAATGATAGACACATTGAGAGATACATTGAGAGACACAATCATAGACACAATGAGAGACACAGTGATAATCACAATGAGAGACAATCAGTCACAATGATAGACACAATAAGAGACACAATGAGAGATACATTGAGAGACACAATGAGAGATACATTGAGAGACACAATGAGAGATACATTGAGAGACACAATGAGAGATACATTGAGAGACACAATGATGGACACAATGAGAGATACATTGAGAGACACAATGAGAGATACATTGAGAGACAATGAGAGATACAATGAGAGACACATTGAGAGATACATTGAGAGACACAATGATAGACACAATTAGTAGCAATGTTAGACATCACAGCACGAATGTACGTTCCAACCACCCTAGATATTACCAGCCAGTTTTAAGCAGCAATATAGAACTTGACCATACACAGGTATGAACGCGAGGGATCAGCCAAGAGGTAGCCAAGTGGTTACACACTTGTCTAGTCATACCACACAATGGGATCGATTCTCAACATGATTCCTGGTTCTTCTGCAATGACATGGCAGGAATATCACTGGCCTAAACGTAAAACCAAATTCACTCAAAATGCGTAACTATTCATGGAGGTTAAGCCACCGAAATAGAAACCATCAACTCATCTCAACATGTTCTTCGTTATGTACATAATTCTGGTCTACTGTTTCTAACCGATTGTATATATGTTCAATAGCACCTAATCACATCGGGATGAACGCGCACCTGCTCCTAGTTGTGGGCAGTATTGATTCTGTAGGTTAACTAACATATGGGTCGATATGCCCCAGGCGCGCCCTCCCTGTCCTACACACAATGTATCGGGATTACTTGCCCAACAATAAAACTTTTGTTACACTCAGAGTCGCAAGTCTCGAGGCTCTAGCATGGACGCTCAATCGATGCAGCATTGAGTACCAGTGTCTCATTATTTATCAGTATCGACACACTAACTGCCCCGACCTTCTTGAAAGGAAGAAACGTGGACATCTTCCCCCTCATGGATTGGGGGGAGGGGGGACTCTGCATCCCACTGTGCGAGATTCGTTACCATTGATCTTCGAAGTACGGCTACAACCAAACCAGGTCCTCCACGCGGCAACCGGCCTGTTAGTGATGCGGGTATTTCAATGTGTCATTTAACACAATATGGCTGCTTGGCATTGAATACTAACAATGGGAATACCTCTTGTGTATTGTCAGAGTTGATAGTTTGTTACTTCATTCTACA